TTGATCTTTTGTACTTTGTTGCTCTCACGATTAACTCAATAAACATGAGTAGCTAAACTCAGTTAAGGGTCTAATCTCTACTCTCTATATGTGAAGGTTTTGATTCAGTTTCTTATATGAGGCGTTATTTCTAGCTAAGTGTTTAAACTAACCTTTTAATTAAACTGGCCATTTAACTGATTGTGCATGTATAGTTATGGAGATCTAAGAAGGGGAACATAACTTTAGAACGGCTTAAACTAGTCTATGACAAAGGAGGAAATCTACCCTTTGGTTTCAATCATCAACAAGAGTTGGGTGCATTGGCATAGGTGATCAAATGGGCTTAAGAACTCAATTAGGCTCAAATTAAAGAATTACTCTGACTGAGACGTAGGTGATTTAGCTAATCTGAGAGTCTTTATTCTGTATGAGAGGAATTGTAAAGAACATATACAATAAATCATATACAACAAGAACCAAGATGAATCAAAGATGGATCATATAGATTGGGAGGTGATTAGCCCTTCTGCTATTCACTTTGTCAAGTGACTATTCTCACTCTCCCAAGTGACAAATTTGTTAGCTTATTTTCCTTAGATTGCACGATAATCAGATTTTAAGCAGTTAACTGTCGTCTCTGTAGAATGACCCTACTTACCACTAGCTAATAGTTTTAAATATTTATTTCTTTTGTGAGTGTCAGCGACTCATTCACCAAGTACAAGAACACAAGCAGAAGTAAAAAAAAACAGAAAATTGGCAAGTGAGTTATTGACTTGGCAAAGTGGTGGTAGCCTAGGGCCGTCCTCCATTCTACTCTATATCCATATGTATTGATTCTTTTAGCTCTCTATGTGGTATGACACTGTATTAAATCAGGCACGTAAACACTGTAGAATAGATTGTAGGGTTTAGTTCAGTAAGGAAGAAACAAAGTGTAACTCTGGAAGGTAAACTCAGGGGTGTCACTTGGAGAAATGAGAAGCTGACTCTGTGTATAGATTGTAGGGTTTACCACCCTCCCTTACGTGCAAGCACAATTAGTTTGAATGGCCTCTTCAACCTAAAAGGATAAATTAATGTCTAAGACTTAGCATACAAATATCATCCGAGAGCATGAATCAAAACATAATTATATAGAGTAGAGGGACTAGACCCTAGAAACTAGTTTAGCTACTCATGGAGTTAAACTCAAACGTCACAAAGTTCAAGTGTTGAGACTTCATCCTGATTACAACAGATAGAGAAGAAAACGAGGAAGAGTAAAGTCGGAGTGTAGTAAAGTGCAACTGACTATGCAGAATCAACTTCTCACTTCCCCAAGTGACACCCCTGAGTCTACCTTCCAGAGTTACACTTTGTTTCTTCCTTACTAAACTAAACCCTACAATCTATTCTACTTCTAAGTGTCTTCTAGTCTGGATTCCTTCGTCTTCAGCTGCTGCTGCCTTTTATAGAGGTTGGGGGGAGTGATTCTTACTTAGCCAAGTTGGTCTCCTCTTTACCCGATGGGTTTAAGCAAAAGAGAGGAGACTCATACTTCTCCAACTTCCTCCCTTACGTCTAATAATCATTTATGGATGATTTGGTTGTTCTAATCAGCTTTAAGGCACATCAATCATTCACTCTTAATAGCAGAAGCACTTCAGCACCTTCCCTTCTTCCTTAGCTTCAAAGACTTGCTCCAAAACAGCCCATCTTCCAGCCAGTTTCAGCCCCAATTCGGCCGTTTGCACGTCAATCCCTACTGCATCTTCCAATTTGGCCCGAATCTTCACCAATTTGCCACATTTTGACCACTTTCTTGCTCATATTGCATTTCATCCCTTGGATTACCGTAAGTCACTAAATTAGTCTCTAAACATATAACCCTAAGCTAATTGACCTATAATTAAAGTATAAAGAGGTAAAATACATGCCTAAAAACATAGTACGAAATACACTCATCACCTATTTAATTAGAGATGTTTTAGGTTTTAATACATGGCACAAATTTTTCCAAGGATTGTATCTTTTGATTCACAATTCTATTGATTTATTTTGGCCAAATTCTGCTCCTAGGAAGAAACAAATGATAATCTTTATCTTGCCTTGAATTACACAAGTGTATTTGCAAATTTGTGAGTTAATTTTTAGTGAGAAAGTTCATGCACGTTAATAATCTGAGTTGAGATTTATATCGGTAGATGAAGACATGAACAAGGTTATAGTTTGAACCAAAACCAAATCAAAACCATACCGGAGGTTCAGGAATCGAAACTAGAAGTATAGAATCGTAGTGGACGTTTCTAAAACCAGAACCAAAACCTTCACTAACAATCTGGTTCAGGTTCATCCCTTGAAAAAACTGTGAATTGATGGTTTAAAACTGACGGTTTAAAACCATACAAAGTGTCAATTAACTATCATTTCAATCAAAATAACAAAAAGTATATGATGTGGATTATTAAATTTCACTTCTATTATATTAACATTTCAAGTTCGTAATAGTACACCTAAAAGACTAAAAATATAAACAAATTACATAAATATATATGTGTGCGTGTGTGCTTGCATGCGTGTGTGTAGTCATCTCCACTGCCCATGTCATCTTCACAAGGTTTTTTTTTTTTCTAACATTTGATAGGTTAGCCCTTTTAATTACACTCATTAGTGAATATAGGTGAAACTCAATGATAATATGAGTATCATTAATTCAATAATAGAGAAAATTTCATTTTGTTGGAATTTTCATTAAAAAAAATCATTTAAATCAATATAGAAATGCATAGAATTAGATACAATACCATTACCGAACAAGAACCATAGTGAACCGAAGCCGGCAGTTCAAGAACCAGAACCTAAACCTTAAATAGAAGGTTTGATTTCAATTCACCCTTTCATGAACCATGAACTAGCAGTTTATGCACTGTTACTTTGGTTCTTAAACTGCGGTCATTCCTAGACTGATGTTATAATGCATTGTCATTTGACCTTTGATAGCTATTGGTATCATTTAGAGTGCTTGCGCATGTATTCACATAAACCATTCATGACTCTGATCTCAGGATTTGTACTACTTTTTATACAAATTCCATAACTCGATGTGGACTATTTTTTTGAGCCGGAGAGAGCATTACATTAAGCTATCTGTAATATTTTCATACTCGTGTCTGTAAATATTATCTAGGGTGAGATAGATTTTGTTGAATTATAAGTACATTCCTCCTCACAATCATGAGGAGTATATCCCAGTGATTAACTTTTTTTGCAACAATCATAAGGAGAAAAAACTCCCAATTATAGAAGAGTAACACTAGAAAGCCCTAAATGAATAATAAATAATTTTTTTTGGTGAAAGGTGTAAATTGCAAACATGTCTCTACAATTCTACCATTCTATTACAATTTGCCGAATAACTATACCAACAAACCTACAAAATTATTAGTGAAAAAGCAGCTGATTTTTTTGACCTTTTCACTGCATCTTCCCGAAGAGTGTATCCCAGTAATTAACTTTTTCTGCAACAATCATAAAGAACAAAAACTCCAATTAAAGAAGAGTAACACTAGAAAACCCTAAAATGGTTAGTTGCAGCTTCCCAGAGGGATCTCTCAGTTTGCTGATATCAAATCGTCCCAAAGATCTCACCCCATTTTCCTTCTCCACTTTATCAGACCAAGTAAGTTGATGCCTGGTATTCAACTCAGAAACCCTAGGTTCCATTTCATCCTTATGACGGCCACTGAGACATCCTTCACTTAATTGACCATTCTGAATCACTTTCACTCCATGCCTGCTCTCTTTTAGAGTATTCTCAAGATCATCACTCTTAGATCCCTTCTGTTTCTGTGCTGAAGTTCGTTCAATTTCAGCCACGATCCGATTAAGTTCCTCTTATTGACTTGCAATACTCTTTCACCTCGTTTCTTTCTTCGAAGAACTTTCTCCTAAATCAAATCTATCCGATTCAATTACGGCATCTTCTAATTATAGATCCACCTTCGTCCGCTGTTGATTTGCTTTTCCCCTCTTCTTTCTGCCTTCCATGACAGGCTCACGTACGTGCGCCGAGAGAGAAGAGAGAGAAAACGGAAAGTTTTTAAAGAATCTCTTCACCTCATACATATCAATGCTCAAAGTTTTCGTATACAATACCATATGCATTTTATACACCAAAATTGTGAAGGGAATTTACAACCAAATGATTGAGTTGGTTTGATGTAATGGACTACTTTTGACATGAGAAACTGTTGAAATAATAAATAGATACTGAATTTACATAAATAGTTAAGCGTACTGTAGAAATGCACACTTATAAATAATCCACAGTACTTAATTAAAGCAGCAAACAAAAAGTACACATGTCAGCTCTTCACGAAAATTTTCCCTCCAAAAGGCCTTTTTAGTACAAAATGAAAACTGACATGTGGCGCTCTAGATTTTGAGATAAAAGGCAGTCTTAAACAAACCAAAAAAAAAAAGTCAAATTATGATAAGAAAAATATGAAAACCCGTAAACCCATGTACTCACTTTCAAAAATCTGCAATATATCCTGAGATAATTACTAAAATAACAATAATAATAATCCCCATTTTCAGCTACTTCTTCAAATTCCCCAAAATCACTCCACCCTTGCGGATAATGTCGACATTTTCGGGGAAGGATCGCACAAAGATCTATCCCAAAATCAACTCCAATTCAAATTCTTTTATACCAAAAGAACAATCGGATAGGGTATCTCTCTTCTTTTTCCGTTCTTTTCTACTTCTGGGCATTGGGAGAAATTGGTTGGTCTGTTTTTTAGCATTAAAGAAATTGCTTGATATTGATCCTGGGCCGGAGATTTATCACCGAAAATTTAAAACATTTGAAATCCAAAGATATAAATAACGTTGTATATAGAAGACGAAGAAAAAAAGTAATTTCAATGTGTATGTTCGACAAAATTGGGTTTAACACGTTAATGAACGAAACTAAACTAGTCAACACATCCATTGCACTATAAATTAACGAGGTGTTCTTCTGCTCCGGCATCACCAACTTCTCAATTCTCAACTCTCAAGGCTACATTTCAACCAAAGCTCCCTTCCGAGATTCAATTAAATCCGAAAAAAGAAACACCAAAAATGGCCAGCAAACTCTACATTGTGTATGTTCACCCAATCTCTTTTCAATCTACTATCTTTTCTATAAGAAAAAAAAAAACCAACTATCTTTTCTGTTCTAATTTCTGATAATTAAACAAGATTTTGTTATACGTTTGGCACTTTGGCTGATTGGAATTGTTTATTATGGCGGTGTTACAGTTACTACAGTACTTACGGACACGTCGAAAAGCTTGCAAAGGAGATCAAGAAAGGAGCTGTTGATGGAGTTGAAGCAACTTTGTGGCAGGTATTCATCAAACTGAATTCATTACCTTTAGCCATCGATTTTGATAATGCTGATTACGGATTTGCCCTGATTTTACAGAAAATATATGCTTCCTATTCACACACTCACACACACAAAAAGAAAACCGGATTTCTACCAAAAAAAAAAAAAACAAATTTAACGATCTTCGTTAGTGTTTCTTTAAATTGATAGGTGCCAGAAACACTGTCAGAAGAAATTCTGGGGAAAATGAACGCCCCACCAAAGAGTGATGATGTGCCTGTGATCCATCCCGATGATCTTCCTAAAGCTGACGGTTTCATTTTCGGGTTTCCGACAAGATTCGGGATGATGGCGGCCCAATTCAAGTCCTTCCTGGATTCAACTGGTGGGCTATGGGGTGCCCAGAAGCTCGCCGGCAAGCCGACTGGCCTCTTCTTCTCCACTGGATCGCAAGGAGGCGGTCAGGAGACTACCCCGTTAGTACTACATAATTAAAACTAGTTCGTAGTGAATATATCAAATACATTTTTTGTTTTTTGTTTTTGTGCTCATGAATCGTGTGGTAATTGATTCATTTGTGGTTTGAGACTGACCGCAATCACTCAGCTGACTCATCATGGAATGATTTTTGTGCCGATTGGGTACACCGCCGGAGCGATGATGTTTGACATGAGCCAAGTGAAAGGTGGCAGTCCATTTGGTGCCGGGACTTTTGCCGGCGGAGATGGATCCAGGCAGCCAACTGAGACAGAGCTCGCCATTGCTTACCATCAGGGAAAGTACATTGCTGCCATTACCAAGAAGTTCAAGGGTTCCACCTGATTGACTTTTCCTTCAACTAATAAACCATCCAAACTTCACTGTAGAAAGTTGGATCACCAATAAAGTTAAAATGCTTTTAATTAGCCTTGGCGATTTAGATTGTTTTCCAATCTCCCTGTTGTTACCATCTTTTTAGCTTGTTATCAATGAACTTAAAGTGAATCACCAGTTTTTTTTTTTGTCTTATTAAATGTCGCCGTTAAGTTTGTTCAAAATAAAATCATAGTCATATAGCAAGACATTTTGCAATCTAAAGGCATTTGGTCTTTTCGAACTAAGCACTCATAATCTTCATCGATTGGACTTATGTATATCATCTGCAGGAAAACTGAATCAAGTAATGTCGGTCAATTGTGGACGAAAAGGATGGAAGGAACAACCAAAGAATTAATCAGGAGTTTAATTTCGGGTCTAAAGTACAATGCATACAATATTCTTCATATCATATCAGGAAAATAGCATGATTTTTAAGCCTTGAATCCTTCAAAGGGAACTCTGTGTACTAAAACCGTTTCTTTTTCCCCCTTTAAAAAAGACTAGTTGAATTACACACGCGCGCTGCGCGTACCCATCGTTTGAAAGAGACGATAGATAAATTTTTCAACAACATTTTCAAATTCAAAAGAAAATGAATATTAATGGTACAGTGAATCGGGTATTTTAATCCATTAACATAGCCATTCTGCTGCTGATGCCCACGAACGCAAAACACATTATCCATCCCTTTATTTCCAAATTCTCCGAGGGGAAAAAACAAACAAAAACAAAAATGTAAAAACTTGTTTAACAACATCATGTGAGATTTTTCATGGATAAACTGTAGGAACAAGAGACAGGTGAGAAAATTATTCAATGCCATCTGCTAAAATCAACATCAGCATAATTTCACTGCAAGTAATATCAGAAGTGAATTTCAAAATACATTTTATATATAAATTTGAGAGTATAAGACTATAAATTACCTTCACATCCATTGAGATAAATTCACATTGAAAAGTATGACGAGAATATATTAAAATCAATAGATCATAGCATTTTTGGTCCCATTAAGTTCTATATATTCCCGAATCCAAGATATTTCATCTTTACATAATAAACTCTACTAAAAGGATTCTAAATCCAAACAAATGTGTTTGCTCATATGATTTGATGACAAGTGTTGTAGACAAAGTCACAGAATTAGTACCACAAAGGTGCTACCAAATGAGTATAAAACGTAGTCAAGTAAATCATCTAAAGAGTGAACATTAGCAACCTTGACATCATATGGTGCATTTTTTGCTGTCATTAAGGAAACGAAAAAAATCAACCGTGGGGAAAAAAGACTACTAAACTCTCTCATCCAAAAAGCACAAGAAAAACACACATTAAGAAGGAAAAAGGAGTAAACATCACCTATAGATTTGAGATTCGCATATTGAGTAGCAGGTTGAATTGAAAATTTTCGCTCGCCACCAACCTTTTGAAGGTTGGGAATAGAATGTTGATTGTGGAATTAAAATTTGGCCTTTTGAATATTGAGTCTGTGCTGGTTAACTTTCCCCTTACATTTATTGGTTGCTTTCCCCTTACATTTATTGAGCAACCACTACTATTTAACAAAGTAGAGTAATAAATTGTTCGATGATTAATTAAAGGGAAAATTAAAGCTAGCGTAACCCACGTCTAGATGAGAATGGAAGATGAACAGAATGTATTGAGTTGTGATGCTGAATGATAAATGACCCAACACAAAATGTCCCCATTTAATTTTAGACATAGAATTGTGATTGCTTTTCTCATTTCATAATTAATTTTTTTGTACTATAACGTTTCTTAATTAATCTCTGATTTTCCTTCCAATTTAAATTTTTCATTATTGACCCGGAATAACCAAACAAATGTTACATGTCATGCTGACATAAATGCCGCACATTAATTTTAAACGTAGCTGAAATTAAATTTTTTTTTACCTCTATTTTCCTAATTAATCTCCACTTCTTTCTCTCTGAATTAATATTTCCATTATTTACTCAATTGATTGGTAGTATAAATTACAATAATAATTATATGTAATTGTTTGGTTGAAAATTGTGCACCCAAAACCGTGAGAAAAAAGGAAACATGAATCACCCAAAAACACAATTAAATCATACGATTGTGATTGAGATCGAACCGGCCTCGGACCAGGATCGAGGACTTAGGGTTATTGGCTTTAGTTTGAGAAAGATAGGTAGAAACTAGGGAAAGTGGGAAAAAGCCAAAGAGCCATCGTTTGACTTATAAAGTGGAAAATCCTAGTACTGGCAAGCTGTAGATGGTACCGATGACACACTATTACATAAAAAAAGACAAAGATAGGATGACGTGCAGAGGGTAGTCCGACGTACATAAATGTTAGAACACCTATTGCAACATAACCAAATTCGTTGAGTAGAAAATGGTGAACACCTACCTATTCTATGTAGGAAAAAAAGGTAAACAACTCTATTACTAGGCTAGGGGCTAAGCAAGAATGATAGAACTTGATGAACTACCATAGGGAAGATAAAAACATAATAAACAGTAAAAGAAATAATAAAGGACAAGGAGAACCAGTTGTATGGTTGATCGGTGATAATTTTTTCTTCATGGCTGCCTCTATTTATAGTGCTTAGATGAAACCCTTGCTGCCCTTTGATTTCTTAGAGAAAAAGGTAGCTTAACATGGTCAATTTCTTTGAAAATAGAATATTATTCTCGCAGTAATCTACCAATCGGTTGATGACTCTTCTCGCAATCAGCTCTTAATTTAGTAATAGAATCATCTCCCAAATATATTTCTTTTAATTGCTGGTGATTTTCCTTATTAAAAGGAGAAAGAAATAAGGGGGAATCTTCCTTAATTGCCAATTAATTACGCAACCAATTTTGGAACAATTCTATTTCCACTTGGCTTCTACTTTTCTTCTCAAATTCCGAATCTATTCACACTCAAACAGCCCACATTAACCCCAAACGTATTTTGTCTACTTTTGGGCTATTTTAGGGCCTTAAAATCTAAGCCATAATCACATAAATTAACCAAAACACATGGGCCATCATAAGCATCACTCGCCGACCCAAATAGTCAAAAACTGGCCGAACATAATGCCCCTCGAACGTTCATATTAAATATGACTTTGATATGAACATTGATAAACACATCGCTACCACTAGCCAGACGCATTCCACGTGGCCCTTAGATCCACATAACACCATTCCACGAGATACATAATGTAATACGGTACCCACGCAGAATGTGAATAATACGGATTAAAGAATGGTGCATGCTTACTTCTTTGCAACGGCTGAGGCTTCCCCTTAAAGTCATTATCAGTTCTAGAGCTGGACCTGGACTCTTGTGATATTTGCCATCGCAGATAGCTTCTACGGTTCTTCTGTTCTTGAGCTATGTTAACACTGAGGTCTGATTTTGGACTTAACCGGCCATTTGAAATGGGAGAACTAGAAGTACTGTTGACCTTTTGCTTCTCAACATCTTGAACTTCAAAACCAGGAAGGGTATCTTTACTCCTGACCTCCTTTGACAATAATTGACCTTGAGAATTCATTGGAGAAGTAACCATCTTGCTATGTGGAACCTGGGGTTGGCTGCCAAACTGTTTAAGAACTGGATTTGCCACGACAGCACTACTGACTGTACCAGAACCATTTTCTTTGGCGCCTTCCTTGTCACTCACTGCTAACAAATCTCAACCTTGCACAACCAATGGAAAAGTAATCGGCTGGTCGCATCTTACCTCTGATTGACTGCCGAACTGTATGAAAATTGGGTTTGAGATGACAGAACCACTAACTACATCAGAATCGATTTGCTTGCAGCTCTCTTCTTCGTTGATTGTTAATGCTACACCGGTCTCTCTTAACAATGCATGAGATGGGTGATTATTATCACCTTCTAACTGCAGCTCGACCTGCCATTTTTCAATCAGCTTCACGACTTCTATCTCAGCTTTATCATTCATCAACCGATCATCTTCATTGCCCTCTTTATTCTCATCAACCTTCAGCTTCATATCATCATCCTTTTTGGCCACTATCTTTTCAACATAAAATGCTTTAATCCTCTTTGGTGTAGACCCAAAAAGTTTGGCATAAGCTCGAGTGCAACGCCTTTTCTCTTGACCAGCTAATGATTTCAGGATCCTCTGATTAGCGGTCAACTTAAACCTCCATTCTACAGTAGCACCATAATCCACCCAAGCAATGTATTTCTCCTCTTGATTCTCATCGGATTCAGCATCAATACAAAGAGAATCGGCCCCAAATAAAGAGTTTGTAGACTTGACTCTATCGGCACGGCAAAAAGAATGTTGCATTGACTTACCTTTACGATTTTTGTTTCTGGACCTCATGGAACCTCTCTTGTCAGAAATTCATGCATGATTCGAGTATCTTTTGGCTTGCAAAGAAGTTACCGTTCGCCCAACTCGATGGCCGCTGGAATCGGTCTGTCGATTTTGCTCTTCATTGCAACCAACCACCTTTTTCAAGACACTCTCCACTTTCCGCAACTTGGTCTTGCCCATATTAGCCCGTTCCTTACCTTGTGTCTTCAAACAGCCTTGATTCAGTTGCTTAAATTGTAGAAAAACAGAACCAGAAATCTGCACAGAATCAAGCTGCCGAGTTCGATTACCATCCTTGCAAATCAACCCTTTAGATGCCTCACCAGCTGCCAATGATGTGGTTGTGCTTGTTTCAGCTTGATCAATACTGAGCGTCCCCAATACGCTTTTATCTTGCCAACTAAACTGTGAAGAAATAGAAGCTGAATCGGTGGCTACCCTATGCTGCCGTCCAATGGAGATTAAACCCATTGATGTTTCATTAGCTGTCGGTGAAGTGTCTTTAGTCTCATCACTATCAAGCATTATCAATCGGCCTTGTTCTTGGTGACTGAGTTTTGAAAAATCTGAAACTTTGACGCTATAAAACTAGACTATCGAACACGGCTATCATCAGAAGACTCGTCCTTTTTATCTTGAAACATGTTCCTTGAGCTAACTTCAATTGATGACAATTTCATCTTACTTGTAGTAGCAAAATCAACCCCGGCTGAATTCAAGCAACATTGTTCTTCATGCTCCAATGGTGAGGAACTCGAAACCTGATGGACAGGGCTAGAATGTCGACTGTGACCATGATCATTAAGAATCGTATCAACATCTTTCAAACCATCTTCAATTGATGAAAGCTTCGTTTAACTTGTTTCAACTACATCGATCTTGAGTATCGTCTAATGGCCGTGATCTTGATGACCCATAATTCTGCTATGTATAAAACTGTTCTCACCGTGGTCTTGAGGTTCTGTATCATGCCGGTCTCTACAAACAATTTCCTTGTCTACCTCCTCACTGCTTGTAGACTCGCCATATTCATTTTGTAGATCAACACACTCTTGAAAGTCATTAACATCTACAAAATTACCAAAACATAAAGATTCAATTGCTATCTCCACCGTTGGAACCTGGGACACGTGTCACACCATACTATCAAATTTTCTCATACAAGCCTCCATGTCTTTATTCGAACCATTAAACATTTCTTCTATGTTCACCATGGATGTATGAAACTGACTTCGGTTATCATCAATCTCGGCCAACCCACTTACATTAAACATGGATGGTGAGCATCTCGCAAGCTGGCCTCTATCACCTCTACTAACAATCACAGAACCAAACTGAAAACGTGAATCAACATGACAAGAACCCATACCTTCTGGACTGAGTGTGTAAGGATTCATGGAACAAACAACTCTAAGTTGATGTGTCTCATTGTAGACTGCTGATCATCCGATGGTTCCCTCAAACTACAAGTCATGAATATCCAATAAGCAAGATTTATCATCAGTAACTTGCCCCCCCAGGCATCAAAGAAACTTCTTGAGAATAGCAGGTATCTGAATTAGTTGACCCTTTATCAGTCAGTACCAACATTCTGGATTGGTGATCCCGTTCATGATATCTTTGGAATCCATCACCGCTCTGACCGGCATCACAATAACTTGTACCTACACAGATCTATTTCTTGTCAACCAACCATTTGTATTGAACATACTGGGCAACTGCAGAATCATCAGCCAGTTGGATTTGTCTAGAATCTGCGTATTGTTGGTGATGCAAATGTAAATACTGAAATAACCATCATGCATTGAGAATTCAGACACCGATTCTAGTCCAGCGACACTCGTGACTGGTTCTTCATTGATGGTATTAGCACATAAATCAGCGAAAGTGATTCTTGCAACTGACCTTGTTCTGACTGAGACAAACTCCGAAAAGATCTACTTGGCACCGCTTGCTGATCAAACTCGTTGTTTCGCACCATCTATCTCTGAAACCGTAACATCTGCCCTTGGAACTCTTTAAATGGTACCGTCTTCTGATCAAACGGCATTACTCGCTCATGGAACACTGCTGACTGTTGCTAAAACTGATGGGAATGTATCACTTGTTACTGACCATGCTAATCGTGTTCTAATGATGACTGCAATTCTTTAGATTGTATTTGCTCCATCGGCAGTTGGCTTCCTATTAACCCTAATATGTGAGCTTCCTGATCCAACAATGGCCCTTCTAGTTGATGCAATTGCTCTATCGGCACCGATAGCTGGTTTTGTGTTGACAATGGCATATTAGAACCCTGAAGATCCAGCAAAGGCAACTCCACCAATTCTTGTAACTGTGTCATTTTATGTTGAAGATATTGACCCATCAATCGTGTGATCAGTTGATAACATACTAAGGATGATTGGTTTTCCACTGTTGATTGTTGCACTTGCTAACATTGTAATGATAACTACTGCAACTTTATCATTGATTGCTCAATATGCTGAGGCACTCTTGATGACGATTGAAACTCTTGGAGTGACGCTCATAATTGTTGCATCCATTCAGACTCTACCAATAATAGTTGTTGCATTTGCTGGATTTTTGTCATCGATTGTTGCTCTTGTTGAGATTGTATTAGTGGTCGTTGGATCAGTGCTACAGAGAACCGGCTTGCTCATATTGCACTAGAGATGGCTGAATATGCTGAAGTCCCACCAAAGGCTGTTTTGCCTGCAACAATGGTTGTAATGCCATCTCATTTAATTGCGTTGCTATGTGATTGGTCGGTCGAGACTCTGCTGATGCTGATGATGATGATGATAGTGACTGCTCTATAGACAAAGACCATGTTGGTGATGACTGAGTCGACACCAATGATAAGTGAACCTCTGTGGACTCTATCCATTGCTGAAGTCGCAACTACGTCTGAGACTTGACTGACTGTGAAATCTCATGAACCGATTGAGACTCGATCGGTAATGAATAAAACGGCTGGATCTCTGTCGATGATTGGTGCTTAACTGATTTTAGAGACTGTGTCAGCCTCTAGAAGTGTAATGGCATAATTGATTGATCGGTCTGCTGCTTCGGTTGTGACCAAGCCCATCAGATCAGTCCAGATTGCAACCGAATATCCTGATAATCCATCGGCAAAAAATATGGCTAGTGGACATGTGCTGATGCAAATTCTATTCGCCGATTTTGTAACTACGTCTGTTAGATCTGTTCTGTTGCTGAATCATGATGCTGATTTGGTTGCAAGAAAACCTGCTGGTCTGGTTCCGATGATAGCTGAATCTGCGAACACTCCATCGGCGATTGATAGGACCGCGTTGATTGCAACTCCAAAGATTGTGTCATCCATTGATCGGCCTGCTGAAACCTCCATGGCCATGTTTGGGACTGCTGGATATGCATCGATGATAGCTGAATCTGTAAAGACTCCATTGGTTACTGTTGAGACTGTGTCAATTGCAACTCCATAGATTGTATTGTCTACTGATCGGCCTGCAAAAACCTCCCTGGCCGCGTTTGAGACTGTTGGATATGTATCGGTGATAGCTGACTCTACTGCCACTGCAACCACATCTATTGAAAGGTGACCGTTGGCTGTTGAAACTATTGGGACTCATGATCAAAAGCTATAGATTGTTGTCCACTATCTTCGAATAAAACTTGTGCATTCCACTGACCATCATCGAGCCAATCATAACAACCGAATTGATGCAACCGATTGCTAAAAATGGCTTGCCCCCGGAGATTTGAGAGTTCTTGCATTTTCAGACTTTGATCTTGTTCATCGGCACTATCGGATTGCCGACCTACATCATATTGATCATCTGCTTAGATAAAATGGCATACAGCTCTGTAATCGGTTGTTTGAGAGTTGTAATCGGCATAAGCCTTCAGGATCGGTGCATTAACTAGATTTGCATTTTTCTGATGGTCAACACTATTTTGGCACCAATTGTGACCATGGCACTCAATCCGCTGCTCCGATTGTTGATCGGCAACATACATAAACCTAGAACAAGGTTGTGCCGATGCAAGCTGTTGGAAAATCTACCCACCAAGTGGTGATGAGCTATATTGGATATGGGGTTGTGTGGATAAAGGTTGTTGAGATATTTGCTCACCAAGTCGTGATGAGCTATATTGGATGTTGGGCGACGTGTATGTAAGGATTGAATTTTCAGGCGACTGGCTATCTGAAGCAAGGGTGTAGACTGGACCTCCAAAATTGTAAAAGGCATAATTTTGGGTGTTTAAATATGCCATGATAAGGAAAAAGGAAAAGACTTTTTTTTTGGAATTTTTTATGACATAGAAAACTTCGTGGTACGATGACAGACTTCCACGATTTACAAATCAAACTAAAGCTTGTCTCACCGGGCGTGCCAAATTATGTTTGGTTGAAAATTGTGCACCCAAAACCGTTGGGAAAAGGGGAACATGAATCACCCAAAACACAACTAAATCAGAAGATTGTGGTTGAGTTCCAACCGGCCTCGGAACAGGATCGAGGACTTAGGGTTATTGGCTTTAGTTAGAGAAAGACAGGTAGAAACTAGGGAAAGTAGGGAAAAGCCGAAGGGACGGCGTTTGACTTATAAAGTAGAAAATCCTAGCGCCGGCAAGCTATAGATGGTGCTGATGACACGCTATTACATAAAAAACAAGAATTGGACGGATGTGCAGAGGGTAGTCCGATGTACATAAGTGTTAGAACACCTATTACAACATAACCGAATTCGTTGGAGTAGAAAATGGTGAACACCTATCTAATTCTATGTATGAGAAAAAGGTAAACAACTCTATTACTAAGCTAGGGGCTAAGCAAGTATGATAGAATGTGATGAACTACCATAGGAAAGGTGAAAACATAATAAACAGTAAAAGAAATAATAAAGGACGAGGAGAACCAGTTGTATGGTTGACGTGTGATAATTTTTTCTTCATGGCTGCCTCTATTTATAGTGCTTGGACGAAACCCTTACTGCCCTATGATTCTTTGGAGAAAAGGTAGTTTAACATGGTCAATTTCCTTGAAAATAGAATACTATTCCCGCAGCAGTCTCCCAATCGGTTGATGACTCTTCTTAGAATCATCTCTTAATTTTGTAATAGAATCATCTCCCAAATATATCTCCTTTAATTGCTGGTAATTTCCTTAATTACCAATTAATTACGCAGCCGATTTTGGAACAATTCTATTCCCACTTGGCTTCTACTTTCCTTCTCCAATTCTGAATATGTCCACTCTCAACCAGCCCATATTAACCCCAAACGTATTTTGGCAATTTATTGACTATTTTAGAGCCTTAAAATCTCAACCATAATCACATGAATTAACCAAAACTCATGGGCCATCATAAACATCACTCGTCGGCCTAAATAGTTAAAAAATGGCTGAACAGTAATTATTTTGTATTAACTAAAATAATCAAATATCAGTTAATTTTTTCTTTTCATAATAACTTACTCTAAAGGTATACCACCAAACTTTTGTCAAAACTTGCTTTTTAATATATATGTTGATGAAAAGAGCATCTTGTTATTTAAAACCTATGGTATTCTAAACTAGATGAAAATTGTACATTTTATCTCTTCAAATTTCATTAAGATTAGAGTGTGGTAAATCTGTATTTATACTGACTAGTGGCTTATAGTATATTTTTGAGCAAGGAAATTAATAATACAGTTTTTGTGAATTGTAATCACAAATGGGAAACAAAACAAAAAAATAATAATAAAAAATACCTCGTTTCATTGTGTGGCTTCAAATTTTATGCAATAACGCAACAAGATGCTTGAGATGGCGCACTGAATTATGCAAATATGGAATTGATTATAATTGGAAAAACCTTTTTCTGAAGTCTCAACAAAAAAAAGAGAGTTATGCTAAAACAAAAAACACATTAACGTTATTAAGATTGGACCATGTTATTTCGTATTTGCACTGTCAACTTTTCTGGATCTTTATATTCTCTAGCTCTCCTTAGTGATAATGAAACTTTAATTAAAGGTATTTCGTTTACAATACCATGCGGTATTACTGTTTGCCCACTAGAGAAACTTTTTAACAAAAATTTTGTAGCTATACGGCTTTATAAAGAAAAAAAAAAAGACAATGAATTAGTTTTATGTAGTGGACTTCTCTTGACGTGAGAGTTGCTTGAAGCAATGTGTAGGTCTAAGTTAAACTGCTCTTTACTTATTGAGCTCTAAATTTCATTAGTCTGTTCGGGGTGCTTGCTCGGTTCATTTACCCATTTTAAGCTGCGGCTTTCTTTTCATGTGAAAGAAGTTGAGTAAATCTAAATAAGGATTGTTTTGATTTTATATATGAAAGTGTGAGAAATTTATGACTGCAGCCTTGTGCTTTTAGCATTGTGCGGTTTTCTATACTTCATAATATTGAAATAGTGACAAATTTGATTTCATTCATTACCCTAAGCTTGGAAGTCTTCCTCAAACTGTTGTTATCTTTATCTCATATATGGTTTCCACCATAATAAATCTTTCGCATAATCAGATGTCAAATATTTAACATAGTGTTCCGTTTGATTTTAATGTAAACTTGTAACGGAAAATTCTTTGTTAAGATAGAGAATACGATAAATTTTTATTTTTTTTTTGGATATTTAGCAATCATATCACTGATACACAACACTGTGTGTTGAGGTCCAAAACCTACATATTTGATACACAAAATTGTGGGTTCAGATCCAAAGTTTACCGGAATAATGACTAGAAATCTACATAACAAAATTTGGAATGAATTTAATACATTAAAAAGACTAATTAATTGCAACAAGGAATAAGAAATTGCATTCTCACCGAACTAATCAAGACGGCTGATTTTCTTCAAAGTCTAAGCTTGTAATACACAACAAATCAACCAAATCGACAATTAATCAAAGACAAGAGTAAAGGCCGTCCATAATCCTCAACTACTGCTTTTTCCAGTTTAATTTCTAGAATTTTAGCCCTTCAATTTCCTATTTATTTATTTCAGACTCTAATTCAAGTAGGAGAAGAAAATTAATCATGCATGATGGCAAAGTTTGAGAGCTAGCTAATGACGAACATGTGACAGTCGAATGACGTTTAAGTTTATTAGATGAATATACAGCTCAGTTTTTTCACTTTTTTGTATAATTATGTGTCGCTTAATTATAAGCCTGTTCAAAACCAAACTGTCCAATCATAATAAACCAGAATCGAAAAATATTATGGTTTTTTCGAAATAAACTAATCATTCGTAATGCTCATCAAACAGAGTAATACAGGATTTGCTGCAGAAGTACCTTTACACCATTGTACCAAATCAACATTATAACCAATCGACAGAAGCATCACAAATTATTTAAGGCGTGAGCTGACCACTTCTGGATACAAACTATTATGGCTCAAACTGTGTCTGAAACACACCGGTTCCTGAGCTGCAATTTTCAACTTTCGGAGCCCCTAAGGATTGAATCCAGGAGGTGCTTTCTTTGTGTAATTACAAGCATTTGAATTGCACAAAGAAATCACAAACACCTGACAAAAATTATTAATTACAATTGTAATCGTTCAAATCCGATTGGTTTTAACTTATTAACAATTGATGGTGAGGTAGTTGATGATGGTGATTTGGTGGGAGACGATAAAATTAGTAGATGGTAAAAGAAAAAAAAAAAAAAAAAGAGGGGCATCTTTTTAGATTTGTAAAACAGAGAACGGAACCAACATGAAAGGAAGACAATATTATTTTTAATATTCCACCAATTGAATTAAAATCGTGGTTTGAATATGATTTGACCGCGGTTTTTGCAATTATAACTTACAGATTCGAGGCAGCTGCGTTTTCAATTAATGCACAAAAAACAAGAAAGTGTTTATTCCTTAAAAAAAAAAAAGAAAAACTCCGAGACCTCAGTAGGGGAAACAGGGTTTATATTAAAGTTGTGCTCCATTTGGACAAGAGTTTTAAAAAAACTTTTAAGTCTAAAAAGTCTTAAAAAGATTTTTAAGTCTAAAAAGTTTGTTTAGAGTTTAAAATGCGTTTGGACAAAATAATTAAAGTCTTTTTTAAACATTATTTCGAAAAAAAAGAAGACTTGAAACAGACTTTTTAAAAAATAGGTAGGGGGTATTTTTCAATTTTTTGAAACATGACTTTTTTCTCCGTTCGCAGGTCGAAATCCGGGTCGAAAACGGATTATGAAAAACACGGGTAATGAATATAATGGAACAGTACGTCGTATTCTCACTTTTGCCCTAGATCCGCCGCCCTTTTCTCACTCCCTCTCCTTCAGCCGTGCGGCAACCTAGTGACGGCGACGGCAAAAATCTCCGTGACGGCGACGACGACGACGACGGCTAAGTAGGAGGCGACACCTTGTTCTGGTAATCTTTCTTATTCCCGTTTTCTTTTTTTTTTTTTGATTAGATTAGGTTTAGCTTACAATCACTTCTAATATTTGGATTTACACTCAAATCCTTGTTACTTCAGTAGGGATTTGTGTAAATTTTTTCATGGGTTTTATTTATTGAATCATATTCGAAGTGGTTTGTTTCCAATTGCCATGGGAACCATTTTTTCAACAGAAGTTATCTTCCTCGTAGCTGATATCGATTCTATCATATGCATTTGGGAGATTACTTGATTTGTAGCTGAATGTAGCTGAATTTTGGTAATGGGTTTTTTTTCCGGGTTTCTGTATTTGTGTTAGGATTTGTTAGGAATCTTTTGGAATTGGACGTTATTGTTTGTGCGGTATTTAGTGGTT